TTTTAATAGGTACAATAGGTGTTTATGCATAACATGCATTCATGCCGACCGAACAATATTAACCAACTCTGTTAGAGAAAGTTCAAACGGACGAACGGCGTTTGTTGCTTTTTTACGAATGGGGTAAACACTCCCTCTCACGCAGTATGCCATAGCCTGTTACATTCTTGGGCCCCTGCAGGCATCTGTAAGTTCGAACCAGTATAATGACTCCGCTATAGGTACCTTTCTCCTCTTCGAAGTCTTCATAGAAGAGCAAAATCTATATTTGCCATCAATTGTTCATTTGAACTGTCTGATGCTTGGTGACTTGAGTCGCGTTCTCCAGTCCTTGAACCAGGTCCCATCAACAGGGCGCAACAGTTTGCCTCCAGCCACATTGCCAGTTGCACGAGGGGCACGTGCGTCACTGCTTCCCATCCGTGAATCCTCCGGCCAGGCTTCCTTTCCGTCAAAGCGCCGGCTTTGTGGTTCTCGAAATCGATTTACAGGGCCCATTTTTCCGGAGCCCACACGTTTATCCAAATTCCTTTTTGTTTGCAGGCGAAGATGCGCCGGGCCCTGCTCTCGGGTGAACTCTCAGCCTCAGAGGCCTCCCAGAGGCTGGCTAACTTGCCCATGGTGGAGCTCGCCTCAGCTGACCACCTTATCAGTCTGATCGAGTCTACAGAGTCTGCTTTGGCCTCAGCTCTCGCTGCCAGCAGTCATCAGCCCAGCCTTATCTCGACTCTTTATGCACGCAATTCACTCTCGTTGCACCGAAAACGAGACGCCCGCGCCCTCCGGAAGGTCGCTAAAGCAGCTCTTGGAGAGCACCACACTACGGGGACCACCCACGGACCTCTGGACGATGCATTGGAAGATGACGCTGCAAAAGAGAGCAAGGTCAGCCGGGGAGAGAAGAGCAGGCAACAGAGGAAGAGGCCCCGGTCCTCTGTAGAGTCATCTGAACCGGTGAAGAAGTCCAAACTGAAGTAACCTACGCGCAGTAGCGCTGCCCATGTGTATTATAATGTACTTAAATATTAAGCACGATGTTGACTTGACCAAAAGATGCACTCTGTATGCTTTAGTGTGGTTCTATCGATGGGCGAGTATGACCTTTATCGTCCGAAGCTGGAGATGTAGAACGTAAATTCATGAACTCGTGCTCCCTGATAGAGTTTGACTCGTGTACACAATAGCCCGTCAGACCCTTTGGTATTTACACACCCGACTGAAGGCGAAAGTTCGAGTTCCATGTGTATGTATAAGTGAAGAGGAAGAGTGGTCGAGCACCGGGACATTCTGTTTATTGTTCTGGGCTTTCGAACTCGTGCAGGAGTTTATCGTCGGAGATAGTATTAGCAACAGAACAAGGGGCAGTTATAGGGCGTGTTAGCCAATCATCGACCGACGGCGCAGAAGTGGAGGTGACTGGGCAGGGCCCTGTACGCCGGCGCCAGATCGATACACCCGGCTCTCTTATACGGGCTTTGGTGCGGATTGCTGCTGGGATCAGTTTTTGAGACGGGCCACTCCCATGTGCGCTATGAATTATGCAGTTGGCTTCGCCAGGGTCCTGTTTCCAGCCATTTGATAGTCAAACACGCGTGACATGCTACAGACCGCAGAGGAATAATGTGTTGGGACCATGTCAAGCGGTAACTAGGGGGAGGGTGATCAGTCTGAGGCTCCTCTATCTCAAGCTGGCGGTTCAAAAAGGGTCAACTCGACTTTTATATCGCCCAGATCAGTGTCGGCAAGGTTGTCATGCCTGTGTGTTCTGGTTGGGGAGATAAGAGACAGTCACTTGAGCACCCTACTGCCATATTAACCTTTAAGTTCCGGATCATATAGAGCATGCCTTCGGAAGGCGATTGGATGCCGTCGATGAGAAGTGTGCACGGTGTCTGTCTTATAACTGACCCATTCGGGAGGGGCATGTGAAATGGCCTCATTTGGGCGAAGACACTGTTACTTGCCGGGATATGCTCTACTACAGTCCAATTCCTGGCAAACTGGAATGGTTACAAGCTCGACGCTGCTGACATGGTAGCCCGCATTCTTCAACGGATCTGTAAGAGCATAACGGTAAACTAGCTACCACGACTGAAGACTGCTCCGGTAATGTCTGATGGCGAGGTATGGTCTTGTGGACGCCTTCGCATGCTCATCTACCCTTACTCTACTAGCAAAATTGGAATAGGTTATTTGAAGGCGATAAACGGCTAGAGCTTGCAGTGGCCGCCTCGGCAAGTTTACTGCCCATAATAGGTGTGACCAACTTTCCCGTTATACCAGGAAAAGTTGCTTGTGGTTAACGGCAGCCCCAAAGGCCCGACCTGGTACTTAAAGTCAGGACGGAACGCCGGAAAAATTAGCTACGTCCCGGCAGACGGCTGCTTAGCGCAAGCTTTCTCGTCTCATATGAGCCATACAGGGGCTGGAATATCGGCTAAGTGAGAGGTAACACAAAAGATTGTATAAGGGTTATTTCAGCCTAATCCACGGCGCTAGCATGCCAACTGGCAGCCCTCCAAACTAAGAGCGCTTTTTGTTGTTTGTGGCCAAGAAGGTAAAGGCTGGACTCGAGTGGGATCGGTTCCACTCTCCACTCTCACACACCAGTCGCGAGTCCGAGTCTGCTCGACTGAAGATGAAGTTGACGGGTAGCTGTGGAGTGGCTTAAAATTCGTCTAGCGCGCGTCACATGCAAACATACGACGCGCCGCTTGTCACTAACGACCTTGTCGAACCTCAACAAGTGGGAATCACAAACAGGATCAGTGAGTAACGTTTGTGAACGGGGAGGACGGACATAAGGCGTATTGCCTGAGACTCCATAAACTGGTTACCCAGTCGCGCTGCCGGAGATCGACAATGTCCAGACGAGCCAATGCTTGACAGGATGGTGCAATCGCACTAAGCACAGACTAGCATTGCTAGTTGTAGTTCACTATCCTGGCAGCGTCTGTGCTGGGGTGGGTGTGGATGCGTCAGACCAGGACGAACCGGCAGCGGGCCTTGATGTTACAGTTAATGCAGCGAGAATCCCTCGGTTATGGGTTTCCTGGTGCGGGGAATCAGCTGGGCGTGGTCATTGTGATATTTGAAAGAGCGGATTCTAGTCCAATGCCTTGGATTTTGAATGCAGCCTGTAGAAAGCTCTTGTAACTGCCCACCCTCCTAAGAAGATCCGTAGAGGTCTATATTGAAGGGTTTGTTTTTCCGGAACTCCCTCCTTCGAATTCACATTAAATATTCCTAAAAACAACTTAAGTAGAAATGCTTCGCCCATTTCAGCCGGTTTCGATAAACTACTCACGTATCTACTCCACAGGGGGTCATTTCTACGGTAAAAGCTCCGTATATAGTCACTTTGATGTTAAAGACAACATGGTGATCTGGAACTGATTACTGTGCGGGGCTAAAGGTTTTATTGGCTGCGAAAAACCTGGATGAAGTTCAGTCATCGATTTCGACAGCCCTTGGGCGGCGCTTTTCGGATATGCAAATCAACCAGAACCTCCAAAAGGACTTCTATTGACAATTACCACAGGGCCGGCTGGTGCACGACCCGTCCTTACCGTGTTGGTGATAAATCCAAAGATGCTGCACTGACAAGAAAAGAGGCGAAGATCCGCAGAACATCACCCGGTTTGTGGTATGTAGTTTACCCCCGCCCGCGAAGGAGAGATCGTGAAAGACGGTATTGAGGTTTACGCTGTGTTCTGTGCATATCTTGAACAGAAGTCAGTCATCGCTACACTCGCACTGGGTGAAGAGCAGGTCTTACTTCCCAGTCGGCGCGATCTGTGCCTTCATATGCAATGAGAAAAGCAGACGCTAACAATCATAGAGTATATTCCCATAGAGTGAGTCACAGCGGGAAGGAGTGAAGATATAGGATGTTGACACTCCTGATGGTGCATCTTTCTGCAGAATCCTGCCTTTTTGGCAGCCAAAAAGAACAAAGTGAATTCTGCTCTAAGCATTAACATGCCCTCTTCGACGGAGTCGCGAACGCGATTCTTGCCCTCTAGGGCGATGAGGAAATAAAGGCAACGTAAAATTCTTGGACCCTAATTAGTAGATGGCTTGATGAAGTGCACTCCAGTAGTTAATCAATCCCTTAAATGCCTTGAAACCTACATCTACAAAAGCCACAAGACACGCCCGTCCCTGCGTAGAGGTCCAAGAGGTTTCCGGCATCCAGGTGACCCCTTGTTACGGATATGCAGAGAAACATGATTTTTCGCGTTACTGAAATTGACCGCTGGGTCAAAATGGAATCCAGTAGAGGACACAGATGCCAGTGGACAACGAAAAACGAGTTCCAGTAGTGACCAGGATAAACCCATGACTTATACGGCACGTATCTACTGCCATCCCGTCTCAAACGTCACTTAAAGAGTTGCATGGACTGGAATAAGCAGGGCTACAAAATAAAACTAAAGAGATAAACGGCGACAGTCCCTTGTTTTCAACCAACGCGGTAATATATGGCATTTAATTCGGGGAGACTTAAATAAGTTACTTATAAAACTTTCGCCTTCATCGAAATCTTTCGATGGCGGTTCCGGACTTACTGGCCAAAAGACATTTTCGAAGTTCGAGACAGCATGCCTCCCTATCTACCAAAAGTGAACACAGAACGACACGTTGGATTTACCAGCAACTGCAGCTTGGCCGAAGTCTCGGAATAAAAGTTGATTCGTTGGACAGCAGAAACGATTACGTCCACGAACTCAGATAATAAAAAAATGTTAGGATGAACAGGAAATGAGGTCCCTTTAACTGAATGGTGTCCTGTGCGGCAGGAGGACACCAAATATGCTTGCAAACGCAAGTGTCACAACCAATGTACTGCGATAAGAGGTCGCATTATGACAGCGGTCTGAGAGAGGAAGAAGCCAATGCAATAACTTGTCTGCTTTATTAAAAACAACCTCGAAATTAAGTCTCCAGTGGTTGACTAAACAAAACTAGTATACTGTTAAACGATAGGCTCCTGTGCTTCAGTCCTCGATTGCTTCCAATCCCTAAGACATTGAAAAGTACTATTAAGGATTTACCTTCATCTTATAGTGGCTTCCTGCAACATCCCAATCTCGTAAAAACATATTAAAGTCACCCCTTACGGCGAAGAAATCGGGGCCACTCCACTGGAAATCAAACAGAGAACTACCAAACTAAAACACTTACCCTCCTGTAAAGAGCATATGAAATGCCCTTGCAAATTGGGTCCAGCAGAGCTACGGCACCCAGCATAATAGCAAAGGAGGGCACAATTTCGTACCACATATCTGGAGTGTAGAACGGAGACTATACGGGCGCTCCCCAAAAACCAATATATGCGAAGGTTCGAAATTGCAGAAGGAATAGAATTTTAGTCCGGGACGACAATATAAATGACAGAACCAAAACCAGGCGTTAGAAGGCTTTACAAGGCTTTGAATATAAAGCTTAGGTTAAGGCAAAAGTAAAAGCAATTTGCAGCTATTTAAGGAAACAACGTAGGAGGAAAAAGGGAACTAAGAGATTGCATTACCATTTAAAAAATCAACGAAGAAACAGCGAATGGCCACCAATAAATTTAAAAGCGAAATTTTGATGAAGATCCATTAAAATGAAAGCAAACTCAGGTATGATTTCCAACACGATGAGTCCATCATTAGTAGAACCTCTACCCCATCAAAACTGTCGACCAGCTCTACGATAGTATGTCACGTTGTGAGCCCAAATCTTTCAGTTTCTTGTAACATCCTTATTTAAAAAGTCTGCGGGGCTGTTCGTTCGGTGATTTACTGGTCAAAAATCAATTTTAACTGCTCTTATCCGTCCAGTGCGTTGATAACAGCCTGGGTAATAACGCTTCCGTGAGTGGTTATTACCTGCATATTTCGTGAACGTAAATTCCTATTAGCTTCGGACGGAATTGTCACTGGCCAGGGAGGGCGAATGCATTGTAAGAATCACCCCGCTTGTATACTATTAAGCACGAAATGTATCGTGCAGATCCATGTGCATTTTCGATTGTCCTCTTTACATTTTGTTGTACACCCTAACCTGATATTCAAGGCGCCTGTTTCGGCTTTCGTGGACGGGTGCTTTGTGTCCGCCTGCTGCATGACAAGAGTCAGGATCAGTTTTTACGTCTAAGCCGTATCTCGCCGGATGCGAATTTACCCGAGCATCAAGCCCTACTAACCGATGTCCGCTGAGAACTTTCTTGAATTTACCCCGGGGCACTGTCGTCACAACAAATGGCGTTGGAGAGGGCTTCATTTTTTTGTGAGCCTGTACAGCTATTCACTTTTGCGGATTTTTTTTATACATTTCGTTTTGTTAAAAACGCGACGTTCTCCACCGCCAGTAGGGTTTTTACCGTGTTTATCTTTTCTTTGTAATTTATTCGTCCTTTACAGTACAAATTTGGTTACTACGTTTTTCGACCTTTACACACCCTTATATTTATTATGAGTGATAACGAACCCAAAGCTAGCTCCATCGATATAAACAGCCTTTCTCTCTTTGAGATTGCCCTTCACGCTGTTTTTTCTTGTCGATACCGGAGTCGTCCTGCCTTCCAAGAATCACAACCTCAAACATTCGCAGGTGCCAGTGCATGCTGCCAACGGCACCACCATCAACACCTGTGGACAACGTTCGTTCACCCTTGGTGTCAGTCTCTGGTGGACTTTTCAATGGATCAACAGACCGACTTCTAATCGCCCATTTTTAGGGCAGATTTCCTGTCGCATTTGACATGAACCACCGCAGACTGCTCGATATCACCGTTAAGCGATTTACAGTCAGTATTGTCGCTTCCAAGCCTTCATTAAGCATTCATTCGCTATGCACAGTTCGTCCCTTTCTGACGTTTTGAAGAACTATTCGTCTACCACTAAACCATGTCAGGGCTGGATACCAGTGTCGCAACACTACGATTCGCCGCGAATCGTAGTGTTGCGACATTAAAAATAAAGGCCTACTGATTAATTTCAGTAGGCATGTTTGTTTAAAATACTGCCTTCTGGTGCTTTTTCCCTTTGCATGCGCGTCCGTCGTGTCTATCGGGGTATTGCTTGTGCTATTGGTGATACAATCACTCACCGCAATTTCTATTAGTATTATTCGTTGCAAAGGTGGCTGCCCCACTACGTGTCTGTGTACAGTATCGGAAGTAACTTTCTGATGTTCGAATTAAGCGCACTGCTAACAGTTGCACACTCATTGACGTTAATGGTACTAGCAGTATTTCAGTCAACGTTACCTATACCATAAAAGTTAGTAATGTAGACGTGGTCATGTCAGTGGTAGTATTCGAAGAAGTAGTAGTAGAAGTAGTAGTAGTAATAGTAGTAGTAGTGGTGGTAGTAGTAGCAATAGTAGAGGTAGTAGTAGTGGTAGTAGTAGTATTAGGAGTAGTAGTGGCAGTATCAATAAGAGTAGTAGTATTAGTAGTAGTAGTAGTAGTAGTAGCAGTAGTAGTAGCAGTAGTAGTAGTAGTGGTAGTAGCAGTAGTAGTAGTAGTGGTTGTAGTAGAAGCAGTAGCGGTTGCAGTAGTATTAGGAGCAGTAGTAGTAGTAGTAGTAGTAGTAGTAGTAGTAGTAGTAGTAGTAGTAGTTTTAGTTGTAGTAGTGGAGGTAGTAGTAGTAGTTGTATTAGTAGTAGGAATAGGAGTAGTAATATAGGTAGTAGTTACAGTACTAGTAGTAGTAGTATTATTAGTAGCAGTATTCGCAGTACTAGTAGCAGTAGTAGTAGCAGTAGTAGTAGTAGTAGTAGTAGTCGTAGTAGTAAAACTAGGAGTAGCAATATAGGTAGTAGTAGTAGTAGTAGTAGTAGTAGTAGTAGTAGTAGTAGTAGTAGTAGTAGTAGAAGTAGTAGTAGCAGTAGCAGTAGCAGTAGAAGCAGTAGTAGTAGTAGTTGTTGTTGTTGTTGCAGTAGTAGTTCTAGAGGCAGTAGCGGTAGTAGTATTATTAGGAGTAGTAGTGGTAGTATTAGTGGTAGTCGTGGTTGTAGTAGTATTTGCAGTATTCGGAGTAGTAGTATTTGTAGTAGGAGTAGTAGTAGCAGGAGTAGTAGTCGTAGTAGTAGAATTAGGAGTAGCAGTATAGGTGGTAGCAGTAGTAGTAGTAGTAGCAGTGGTTGTAGTAGTAGTAGTAGTAGTAGTAGTAGTAGTAGTATTAGAGGTAGTAGCGTTAGTCGAATTATTACACTAGGTAGTATTACCATTAACAAAATTGGTAGTTTTGCTGCCATCAGCGTAGTGGCATTAGTAGCAGGTGTAGAAGTAGTAATAGCAATGGTAGTAGGAGCAGTATTAGTAGTAGTATTAGTAGTAGTGGTAGTAGTACTGTTAGTAGCAATTATAGCAACATTAATAAATGTAGTAATAGTGGTAGCATTAGTAGTGTTGGTCGTGGAGTAGTAGAACTGGCGGTGGCAGTATTAGTAGTAGTAGTAGTAGTAGTAGTAGTAGTAGTAGTAGTAGTAGTAGTGTTCTTATTAGTGCTAGTCGTATGCAGTTGGTTGTAGTAGTAGCAGTAGCAGTTGTAGCAGCAATAATATTTGCCGTGGTAGTAGTAGAAGTATTAGTAGTATCCGTAGTAGTAATAGTAGTAGTGGCAGATGTAATATGGTTGTGGTCGCAGCAGTTGTATTAGCGACATTAGTAGTAGTGGAAGTAGTAGTAGTAGTAGTAGTAGTAGTAGTAGTAGTTGTAATAGTAGCAGTAGTAGTAATAGTAGTAGTAGCAGTAACAGTAGTAGTAATTTTTGTGTTAGTAATGGTAGTAGTATTAGTGGTAGTGTTATGTTTGTTGTGGCAGCCGTAGTAGTAGCGGTGTTCGTAGTATTAATTGTAGTACTCGTAGTAGCTTTAGTGGCAGTAATACTAGTAGAAGTAGTGATAGATGTCGTAGTAGTAGTAGTTGTTGTTGTAGTAGTACTAGAATAGGTAGTGGTAGTAGTAGTATTGGTGGTAGTAGTAGCAGTATTTTTGGTGCTGGTAGTAGTAGTTTTAGTAGTATTAGTAGTAGTATTGTTGGTAGTAGTAGTAGTAGTAGTAGTAGTAGTAGTAGTCTTAGTCGAAGTACTACAAATATTAATATATCCATTATTAATTTTGTTAGTCGTGGTCTCATCAGCGAAGTGGAATTATTAGCAGGTGTAGCAGTATAACTAGCAGTAGAAGTGCTAGTAGTAGTAGTAGTTGTTGTTGTTGTAGATGTATTAGTAGTATTTGTAGTAGTAGTAGCACTAATGGCAGCGGTAGTAAAATTAGTAATATTTGTAGTAGAAGTATTAGTAGTATTGGTGGTGTTAGTAGAAGCAGTGGTGGTTTAAGTAGTAGTACCAGTAGTAGTAGTAGTAGTAGCAGTAGTAGTATTAGTAGTAGTAGTAGTAGTAGTGTTCGTAGCAGTAGTAGTAGTAGTAGTAATATTAGTGGTAGTAGTAGTAGCAGTGGTGGTGGAAGTAGAATTAGTGGTGGTAACAGCAGTAGCAGTTGCCGTGGTATTATTAGTGGTAGTAGTAGCAGTAGTTGTAGTAGTGTCAGTAGTATGGTTGTGGTGGTCGCAGCAGTAGTAGTAGCGGTGGTAGTAGTAGTAGTATAAGTATTGGTAGTAGTAGTAGTAGTAGTAGTAGTAATGGTATTTGTAGTGGTAATATTAGCAGTAGTATTATTCATGGTATTAGTAGTGTTAGTAACAGTAGTAGTAGTAGTTCTAGTAGTACTAGTATTAGTAGTGGTAGTAGTAGTAGTAGTAGTTTAAGAGGCAGTGGAAATTGTAGTAGTGGTAGTAGTAGTAGTAATAGTAGCAGTATGGCGGTCATTGTAGTAGTAGCAGTAACAGTAGTAATAGTACTAGTATTAGTAGTAGCGGTGGTAGTATTAGTAGAAGTAGTACTAGTGGTTGTAGTATTATTATTGTTAGTAGTAGGAGTAGTAGTGATGCTTGTATAGTAATTGTAGTAGTAGAAGTAGTAGTAGTAGCAGTAATAGTAGTAGTAGTAGTTTTAGCAGTAGTAGTAGTGTTACTAGTAGCAGTGGTAGTGGTGCTGGTAGTAGTATTATTAGTATTAGTGTTGTTGGTTGTAGTAATAATGGACGTGGCAGCAGTGGTTTTAGATATAGTAGTAGCAGTTGTATATGTATATGTAGTAGTAGTAGTAGTAGTAGTAGTAGTAGTAATAGTAGTAGTAGTAGTAGTAGTAGTAGTAGTATGAGTAGTAGTAGTATTAGTGGTACTAATAGAAGTAGTTTTTGATGACATAATATTAGTAATAGTGGTAGTG